GGGGGAGGGGAGATTTTGAAACTTGTGAAATCCACATTGATACCATTGGGCTGCAGGGTTCCCAAGCGGAATATGAGTTGCTGTTCCTGCAACCTTCGGGTGGCATCGTTGTGGCACTGCAGGAGGCCCAGGATGGACATGTCGTCTGAGGAATGGGAGGGGGAGTTGAAATGGTTCGCGACTGGGAGGTGCAGTTGTTTGTTGCGAACCGAGCGTAGGTGTTCTGCAAAGCGGTCCCCGAGTCTCCGCTTGGTTTCCCCGATGTAGAGGAAGCCACACCGGGTACAGCGGATGCAGTATACCACATTGGCAGATGTGCAGGTGAACATCTGCTTGATGTGGAAAAGGATAGACCAGATCTGGAAGTTAAAGTTCTAAATTCAATGGTATTAGGCAAGAACTTTCAAGAGAGACAAAAAAAAACCCCTGCAGGTGCTGGAATCCAAGGTAGACAAACAGGAGGCTGGAAGAACACAGCAGGCCAGGCAACATCTGGAGGAAAGGAGCAGTCAACATTTTGGGTATTACCCTTCTTCAGGACTGGATGTGGGGATAGGGGGAGCTGCAGATAAAGAGGTGGGGAGGGATGGAGGTGGAATGATGGTGATAGGTGGACACTAGTAGTAGGTGCGACCTGGTTGGTCAATGGGAGGGATGAATCTGGTTGGTGGCTGGAAGGGAGGGTCACTTTGGGATGTTCGCAGGTAAAGGAATGGCAGGAAAATGGGAAGCCTTCAAAAATGAGATAACGAGAGCCCAATGACAGTATGTTCCTGTTAGGATGAAGTCAAGGCTGGTAGAAATAGGGAATACTGGATGACTAGAGAAATTGACGTTTTGGTCAAGAAAAAGAAGGGCGCATCTATCAGGTATAAACAACAGGGATCAAGTGAATCCCTAGAAGAGTACAAAGGCAGCAGGAGTATATTTCAGAGGGAAATCAGGAGAGCAAAAGGGGCACATGAGAAAGCTTTGGCAAATAGGGTTAAGGAGAATCCAAAGAGATTCTTCAAATACATTAAGTACAAAAGGGTAACTAGGGAGAGAATAGGGCCCCTTAAAGATCAGCAAGGCTGCCTATGTGTGGAACCACAGGAGATGGGAGAGATACTAAATAAGTATTTTGCATCAGTGTTTATTATGTAGAACGATATGGAAGATACAGAACATGGGGAAATAAATAGCAACATCTTGAAAAATGTCCATTTAGAGAGAAGGAGGTGCTGAACACCTTAAAATGCATAAAGGTGGAAAAATCCCCAGGCCCTGATCATGTGTACCCTAAAGCTCTGTGGGAAGCTAGGGATGTAATTGCTGGGCCCCTTGCTGAGATATTTGTATCATGGATAGCCACAGGTGAGGTGCTGTAAGACTGGAGGTTGGCTAACGTGGTGCCACTATTTAAGAAAGGTGGTAAGGAAAAGTCAGGGAGCTATAGACCGGTGAGCCTGACATCGGTGGTGGACAAGTTATTGGAGGGGATCCTGAGGGACAGGATTAAATGTATTTGGAAAGGCAAAGACTGATTAGGGATAGTCAACATGGCTTTGTGCATGGGAAAATCACATCTCACTAAATTGAGTTTTTTGAAGAAGTAACGAAGAGGATTGATGACGGCAGAGCGGTGGATATGATCTATTTGGACTTCAGTAAGGCATTCAACAAGGTTCCTCGTGGTAGGCTGCTTAACAAGGTTAGATCACATAGAATACAGGGAGAACTTGCCAATTGGATACTGAACTAGCTCAAAGGTAAGAGACAGAGGGTTGTGGTGGAGGGTTGCATTTCAGACTGGAGAACTGTGACCAGCAGTGTGCCACAAGCATTGGTGCTGGGTCAACTGCTTTTTGTTATTTATATAAATGATTTCGATGTGAACATAAGAGGTATGGTTAGTAAGTTGCAAATGACACCAAAATTGATGGTGCAGTGATCAGTGACAAAGGTTACCTCTGGGTACAACTGGATCTTGATCAGATGGACCAATGGGCTGAGGAGTGGCAGATGAAGTTTAATTTAGATAAATGTGAGGTGCTGCATTTTGCTAAGACAAATCAGGGCAGGACTTATACACTTAATGGTAAGGTCCTGGAGAGTGTTGCTGAACAAAGAGATCTTGGAGTGCAGGTTTATTGTTCCTTGAAAGTGGAATCGCAGGTAGACAGGATAGTGAAGAAAGCATTTGGTATGCTTGCCGTTATTGGTCAGTGCATTGAGGATAGAAGTTGGGATGTCATGATGCGGGTGTGCGGGACATTGCTTAGACCACTTTTGGAATATTGTGTTCAGTTCTGGTCTCCCTTCTATAGGAAGGCTGTTGTGAAATTTGAAAGGGTTCAGAAAAAATTTACAAGGACGTTGCCAGAGTTGGAGGGTTTAAGCTATAGAGAGAGGCTGAATAGGCTGGGGCTATTTTCCCTGGAGTGTCAGAGGCTGAGGGTGACCTTAGAGAGGTTTATAAAATCATGAGGGGCATGGATTGGGTGAATAGCCGAGGTCTTTTCCCTGAGGCTGGGCAGTCCAAACCTAGAGGGCATAGGTTTAAGGTGAGAGAGGAAAGATTTAAAAGGAACCTAAGCGACAACTTTTTAAACAGAGTTTGGTGCGTGTATGGAATGAGTTTCAGAGGAAGTGGTGGAGGCTGGTACAATTACAACATTTAAAAGGCATCTAGATAGGCATATGAATAGGAAAGGTTTAGAGGGATAAGGGCCAAATGCTGGTAAATGGGACTAGGCGAATTTAGGATATTTGGTTGGCATGGACGAGTTGGACTGAAGGGTCTGTTTCTGTGCTGTACAGATCTATGAATCTATGATGCTACGTTGGGGATCATTTGTAGTAATACCCACAGCTTGCTTTGTTTGAAATATTTCAGCATGTTAATGGTGTAAAGTAAAATTGGTAGTCAGCACCTTCCAGTTATAAAAATTGGATTCAAACAGTTAATGTTTAGAGGCAGGATGTTTGGAATTGAGCTAAATAAACTAAAATCTTCTTCTTAGCCCGTCCCAGAGGATCCAGGGTTCCTTGTTTCTAATCTGGTTCAGAAATGGTAACCAACTGGAGTCGACCAGTTGGCTCAGGACCAAGGGAAAGTTTTGGCTCTATCAGTGGACTTCTTTACAACTTGATCCTTATCCCATCTTGTAATTCCACAGTGACAGCCACCATCAGTTAATTCATTCATGCTCTGGTATCAAAATAAGTGGCACTTTGTCAACAAATAATCCAGTTTTAGGATGACACTGCCTGAGGCAGTTACAATTTGATGAGGAGACTATCTTCAAAGTCCAAAAGGATTGAATGCCTCCTGCCCCATAAAGAATCTGCATAAAAGAAAAGCAAACTGCTGAACGTACAAACTGATTCCCCTGTACTTCATGGCTTCTGCCTCAGCTATTCCATTGCTGTAACTCTCACACATGCTGCAGTCTGAACGAGATCATTCCAATACAACACTGTCCTTCTTTCTACCTTCCATAAACTGAAATCATCTGAGAGTCTGTTGCCATACTTAATCTGCACCAGGTCCTGTTCATCTTTGTGATCACTGACCTATATTGGCTCCTGACTGAGCAGCAACTTAATTTTAAAAATCTCTTTGCTGCTTTCAAAATGCTATATCACCTGGCCCCTGTCTAAATCTGTAACCTCATCCAGCCCCATGACCCTCTGAAATATCTCCACATATTCAGTATTAAATTTTGATTCTGAAAATCATGTATAGCTCATTGGGGAGCTTTACAACATATCAATGAACCTTGTGTAATGATATCTATGCTCATCCCCATGTATGGATGACATGCACAGATGTACTTATGTTAATTTTTAAGAATTCATTTGTGGGGTGAAGGGTGTCACTAGCTGGGCCAGCATTTCTTGCTCGTCCCTAGTTGCCCTTGAAAAGCTGGTGGTGAGTTGCCTTCTTGAACTGTTGCAGTCCATCTACTATGGGTTGATCGAAAATGTCCAGTGGGAGGGAATTCCACCCAGCGACAGTGAAGGAACAGCGATATATTTCCAAGTCAGGTCAGTGAGTGGTTGGGGGGATGGGGTGGGGGTGGGGGTGCGGTGGTACGGGGGGAACTTGCAG